AACAAGCGGATTAATATCACACAACCATTTTAAGCTGTTATATGGTGCCCATATATTACATGTACGAGAACTCCAGTAAATTGGCAAAGCAAATGTCCGTCGTGGCGCTAGTAAGGCTATGAAACTTCAGTAAGGATAGCCGAATTTTATGTCATTTAATGATATAGATTATGAACTACTTTAACAACAAGTTGATAGTATTGATATTACTATTTGTTGATAATAAAAACTAGAAATTTATGTACAGGGAGAAGGGGGCTGATTAAATTTATTTCCTTATAGATATGCATGTAGTTTAATTCTTAATCATTATTTCAAGTTTTGTATTTCTTGAAACAGGATAGATAATCTGTACATGATAGAGTGTACACGTGGAAAAACAGTTTGGCTAGTGTGTTGTCAAAATGGCGGACTACAGACAACTTGAAACTGGCATGACGCATCAAAACTCGTTTCCATCCCACTTCTCTTTGTTCGCAATACATATACATATTTATATCCTCGTGAGGACTCACTCGGGAATGGTCGGTAATCTTCGTCAAATGTGTCTTTACATTACATCATGTTCTCGGTATATGGCACACATTATATGACAATACTTGTTCACGAAAGAGGGGGAACGTGAGTGTGTCCATATATGTATACATAAGCCATATGGCATACAACTAACGCATCGCGCTGAATGCGCGCGCGGGCTGAACTTATCATGTGTATAGGTATACTGGCACAGGACTGGAACTTGTATGTATGTTTAGAGTTATAATAGAGTTACACACCCTCTGTAGCTGCTGTTTCCTTTGCATGCATACTCTACTATAGGTAGGTATGTAAGTTGTGTGCTGGCTCGTGTGTATTCACTTATGGGCATGAGTATTAGAGAATTTGAGATGTGAGAACGGTTTGTGGACGAAAGTATACATGTGCACTGTAGACTAAATATATATGTATACTTTCGTGCACAAACCGTTCTCACATCTTATTGGCTAGAGTCCAAGTACCAGTTGCGCCATCTGAGATTAGTTTTCTAGGTCGCCACCCCCATGGATTAAATATTATAAATGAAATAGCTGAAAAAACTTTGTATTAATTTTTTATTATTGTTTGTTACATTAATATCTGTTTAATCTAATTTCGCTGCAGATAAATGAATCATGCGCCTGTTCACGTCTTTTACAGCTAGGTATATTATAGTGTCATACGTCCGGGCACACCAGGTCCACTCAGAGAAATAAGAATAGAGTGCGCCAATCCCACATAACCCTGTACTAAGCTATGTCCCACGGTGCGAGAGAGATAATTACCATAGAGACCCTGTGGTAACTATGCAGCGTTCTCTCTCGCACCAATAAAAAACGTCACCGGACAAGGTTATGTGGGTTTAGCGCTCTCTATTCTTATATCTCTATGGATCCACTATACTCAAGGCACTCGACACTTTGGAAAGGACAAGGAAAGGAATTGGGAGGCCTTCCATAACAGGAAGGAGAAAATGGGCGGTTTTGCTGCAATAAGATTGCCTAACCCTTTCGCGAAGAGCATTGCGCCGTGAAAGAGCACATGTGAAAACTCACAGAGGTACTTACTTGCTCTATATAGCCGCTCTGTTCGGGGATCGAACCCCGGTCTCCCACGTGCCATGACACAACCTAGCCCACCGATCCACTGCGTGCATCTATGTATGAGATATCCATAACCATGGGTAAATTTAAATTGTTAACTTAAATAAACTGCAGCATCGGTTTTTATCGAACGCAGCTTATTTGCTTTCTTTTTTACATTCGCACAGTGTATGATCAATTTTTTGCCTATTAAATAGCTACTTCAAAAGTTAAATATTTCTTTCACATATTTGGTTTTTTTTCTATATGAGCTCCAAAGGTTTAGTTTGCATTTTGGTTTTATTAAAGAAGCGAATTATTATGTACAAATTTACACAATAATTTTGCTACTATCAATTAGTTTTTATTTTTGTTACGATGGGCACAAAGTTCAATTGCCGCTCTACGCCCTACGGACACACTTTGGGCCCTTTTAATCGCATTGGGCAAGCAGGCATGAAAGTTTTTTTCAGTCTCCCAGGCCCAAATTGATTTACTAAGCGCAAAGTGTGCCCACGGGCGTAAAATTGCACTACACGTGATTCCGGCATAAACATACAACCAGGCCTTTTGGGTGCTGATGTATATACTTTGTGCCCAATGACGTAATCCTGACATGAATTGGCTCCGAAGGCTAAGACCAGGGCCCGGCCATGTGAGCCTTACATCAATGCCACGGCCTGGTCAGACCTAATTGTAGAGTTCATCACACGGTGCAATGAGTTTTACCGGAGGCTACGATCAAGCCATAGCCATGGTGTATGTATATATGTATATTAACATACTGTACACTAGGTGGCCAGATATTCGCGACCCCCCTCCGCTGGTTGAGTGACGCTGAAGTCATGCACTGAAGTACATGATTTCAGTGTCACTCAACCAGCGGAGGAGGGTCGCGAATATCTGGCTGTCTACTGTACAGTAGAGGTTATGGTAAGTATATGTATGCAACGCTTTCAAATCGAAAATAACGATCAAAGATTTTAGCAGCGTTTGCCTTCCACCTGGCGGGCTACAGTTTGATCCCCTCTTCATCCACTAACGGCACCTATGTGATTTCATTTGTTATTATCTACATGTGTCATTATCACTGTCGTAGCTTCTGGCTCTTCGGTGTTAATACCGTGCTGTCGTTGACAGTTATAAAAAAATGTATCAAAATTATATACTTAAAAACAACAAATATGAAATATTTCATAACGGAGTCCAGTCGATGCCCAAAAGCCAATTAAGGTAGGACCTCCGAGTACCGTACTAGTCAAATTACTGCGCGAGTTCGAGTTTGACTTCGGCAGCAGTGTCGATAATGCAGACGACGTGTGTACCCACATCAGTGCGTAAACACGTACGTCTCCTAATGTGACAGAGTAGTTATTTTTTAGTAGTAATTTTACTGTTCGTTATTTTTGTCAGTAAAGTATTTTTGAAATAACGAATGAACATCAGAAAACAAAAACAAAATTTACGCCACAAGCATTTTCGTTACTACTCGCTTTTAAAAAACTGCACGCTAACATATACCAATATGGCGGCTTCCCCGACTTCCTCTCGTAATCACAAAACCAGTATTTACGTTCGTTTTTGTTAAATATCTCGAGAAATTGGCCGTCAATCCATATTGTGCTCAACACGATCCGAAAAAAGAGGATTTTCTCTACAAGTTCCATGTACTCACTTTACTCATATTTTTGTTTTTTATTTGTAATATGTGATTACGTCACTTTTTTCTCGTTTTTTTGTATGCGCCTGTATCAAACATTCGAACTTTGAGCTTTAATATCTCGAGATTTTGTCCGTCATCAGGCATAACTGAAGGTACCATTGGATTCAGCTAGTCTTCATCTATTTAATTACATAAGTCTTGTACCCCAGATTTAGGCGGAGGTCCTACCTTAAATAATCAGAATTAGTATCAGTTTGAACAGTTGCGACACTTCGTGCTAAAAAGTATCTGCCGCAGGTGCCATGTTCCTTAGAGTACAGCCCGAGAACATTTAAAAGTAATGAATTGGTTTTCTATATTTAGTACTCATTCGCAAAGAAATGTAATCACTAAATATTTTGTGTGTAGTGAAGGTATTAAAAATGGCAACAAAGCCATTGTAAAATTTTTGGTTAGTTTAATCAAGTTTATTGGCTTGAAATATAAATTTACACGAGACTTCTTTTGCGCCCTCTGTATTTATCGTGCCAAAGCTGCGTTCCACGAACGCTGTCAACGGTAGTAGTAAGCTTACTTGCTTACTAAGCAGTAAGCAGAGTAAGTTACTAATTAACATGTATGTGAGTACAAGATACGCATGGTCTTATCATACCGTCTCTTTCGCACTTACAATATCTTGCAGATTAGCTTTACCTTATCTACTCCTGTATAATAGTTAAGTCTTGGGTTATCGTTGTTGATAAGAAATGCCGTTAAAAGTATTGCATTTGAATTTTTTTATTTTCGTAGAAAGTGTAAAATGCACACGTAGACAAATAGTGAGATATTTTTTTCCATAAACTTTTTTAAAGTCATTAAATAAAAAAATTGAGAGAGATAGCGTATAAAATTTAGAATTATTAAATTCCACTCTTTGTAAAAATATGAATTATGAGATATTTATGAAAATTAATTCCACGTTACATATTTAATTTAAAAAAAAAAAAAATTATAATAGGTATAAAATAATATTTCAAGACTGTTAATGTGACAATAATTAATGAATAGTCACTGTTGCTGAAATCGGCCAGTGCACCTTAAAAATTTTAATTTCGTCCCGTTTATTATAATGTAATTAGGAATGTCAAAAATGTTGTACCATACCCTACACACGTTTTAACAATTCAGTCGTTCTAATATAATATGCAGTCATAACTTTTGTCACGCACATATACACAAGTATGCACATTTATATATAAATATAGAAATAGTGAAAGCAATTAAGAGCAAAAAACTCGATCCCTCTCGAGAGTCTCGGGGATGACGGGGATCGCAATTGTCACAAATCGCAATGTGAAAACACCTCTCATACATACATACATACATACATACATACATACATATATACATACATACACAATATACCTATACACGGTAGTCGCGCGTCAGCATCAGTAGCGCCTAGNATAAAGTAGAAGTTTTTTTCACATATATATAGGTATACGAATGCCTGCGGGAGCATGAAGTAATATTTCGAGCTTGAGCGCGAGACGCCTGTCGAGTGTCGAGACTATCGAGGCTCTTACTTGTATTTGTATGTTAGAGCGTGCTGCTAGTGTTCAGTGTAAGCAAAGACTAAGGTATAGTAGAAAAAATCAAATATCTTCAAACATGTGTGTTGTAGTCGTGTAAGTAGTTCTTAAACTTAGTTGGACTGCATAAAATTTAGTAATACAATTATTTATTCAAGTTCTACTCACTTTTTTCAATATGTTCCTCTAATATTTGTATCTCATTGCAGTTTACGTTTTTTTCTCCCATTTTTTGGTTAGGTTGCATTTCTATACACATAATTCTTCAAATTAACTGGAACTCTCAATTAAAATAATAAGACATAAGTTATTGTATGGAAAATTTCAAATTGGAAAATCTCAAGCATGTCACTTTTTTCAACTTTCATAAGTGTGCATGATCCTTGATTTATCCCCTGAACATGTACACAACGAACATAAAACAAAACACTATGTACAGACTGAAACAAATGCGCGGCAACGAACAAAGTACGTGGTACATTTAAAAACTTGGTGTCCTCGCCTAAGCACGTGTTTTTAAAATTCACCAATCCACGAAAAACGTTTTTTTTTTCTTTTTGCGATTCTTGGCATACTCTTCAAACTAATTTATTCACTCTAAGAAATGTACATATTTACATGTGTATTACATACTCACATACTCACGCAAAAGCGTTCCGAAACTTAACTGCACCCGGTGCACTTTCTCCAGCTTGTTATCTGCATCTCTTGTTTTCAGAGATCCTCATACAAACACAGCTCCCGACAGACTGAACAGTACTTCAGTTCAGCTGTTTCAGCACGATTTAACTTGAATACGTATGAGCTCTTTTACCCGCTTCTCCACATCCCCTCCATTCGTCTTCCAATCCCCTCTCCATTGTACTTTTGTTCTCATACGTGTAATAAGTAGGTAGCACATAATATACTTATTTACTATTTCAAGGAAAGTGGGGGTTTTAAGTTTTTCGTTTTAACATGTATTTTAATGGCGTGAGCACGTATGCACAACTTCGATTTTTGTGGTAGGGATAGGAGAGCTTCGTGTTCTTTTGTTCTTTCTCAGTAGTGAAAATTTTAAAAGAGATAATACCCAGTTTTTCAACATTACCCGCCCTGGGAGTATACTTTTTAGGCAGGATATATAGTAAAATAACCGTTGAAGCGCCTGGAACTCGACGCGAGTTCCGAGTTGGTAAACTCAGCTCAGAGGGCGCTATGGAGAAGAACCTCTAACCCATTTACCCATGGGATCAGAGAATTTGAAGACACGAAGTTTATCTGTTTATGCCGCACGATGTTTAGAAGATATATATATATACTATTGAAAATCGCTAACAGCTAAGGAGGACTGGAGGCTCACAGTAGATCAGAGGATAGCAGTGCCAAAGCGTAAGTTTGCTCTGATTGGTTTCGCCATATTCAGTACCCACACTTAACAAACAGAACAACTGTGTCCGTGTAATTATCAGAATCAGAAATCAGAATTTCCGTTCCAGTAGACACATACACACACATCTATGTAGTGCTACACTTTGTGTACAGAGTGTATATAGTAATACATTGATATTGATTATATGTATCCTGTATGTTACTGATAAGTGTATTGGGCGTCCCGTTTTTAATAGCTGTCAGGTTAAAAACAAGTTGTCTGCAACTTCACTGCCCAACAAGCTTTAAGAAAAAAAAACAAAATGGTTGCTATCTACTGTGTTACTGCCTGTGCTGCCGCCATCTTAGCAACCTACGGAAATGACTTAATGTATGTTGACAAAGTAAAATACTATTGTATTGGTAGAATCAAAATCATTTTAATCAAATTAATTATTATTTATCCATGTATTCTCATAGAGAATGTTTGGCCTTAAGCTCTGCCATGCTGCTGCGGAAGAGCCATCATGGCGTCTAAAATATATATTCGAGGTTAAGCAGCATTTGGCGCGGTTAGTACTTGGATGGGTGACCATTCAAGTCTCGCCGGTTTCGCCGTTGCTGTTCGCTTCGTGGATCGATTGACTGTTTTTCTGTCTCTTGGACATCGTCAGCGGGAGGTGTGCCAAATTTCTGCCCTGTTGTTTAAGCGCGCTTTGAGACGTCAGGTCAGAAATGAAGCAGATACACCTGAATCAAGTTTTTCCTTCGGGAAATCTCCCAGGATTCTCCTGATCCATCTGACAATTGTCATAGACAAATGCCAAGCAGTTGTTAGGGTCCTCCCACTTCCAATCCCATTCAAATTCCTTCCCAATCCCAAGCACTAAGTGCCCTTAGTAGTGCCTCTACAAGAGATTCGGACGAAAAGTACTATAATATGTAAATATATCTTTTACTATTCATAATCGCCCGTATGCTCAGAAATGGCATTTTTTAACACAAGAATAGTGTTTATTAGCCATCGGTGCACCTGAGTTATGACCAGATGTTTATACGTATAATTTATATTTTCAATACATACAAGAATGGTAGATATGTATTTGTATATCGATACATACACTTATAACCATAAATTTTTGAGACGCCATGATGGCTCTTCTGCAGCAGCGCTGCAGGCGGTAGAGTTGGGGGTCAAACATTCTCACCTTATTTCCTTAGGTGGTCACGAGGGTGGCAGCACAGTCGGTTACACGTGGCGGATTAGGAATGGATCTTTACATCGTAAGTACAGTCAATGGAACCTTGACTTTTCCGACCCTCTGGTTTATCAACAAATGGTTTGGACATCACGTTACTCATTGTTTACCATGGCTTATGACTGCTATTGACCGTACATGTTAACAAACGAACTCCACCAGTAGTAAGGCAGCCAATTTTATTTTATGTGATTTCAATGCAGACTACAAGTTTAAATAGCACGGCAAGTCACGAAAGATACCTTGAGAATTTTTGATGTGATACAACTATTAAATAATTTATGATATTTAATATTTACTTATTGCAAGTATTATAGCTCAATATAATGACAGAACAGTGCTTAATTGCATTAATGTAATTATGGGACCTTTGAGGACTCGATAAATTGTAGATTGCAATTTATACAAGTTAACAAATTTATTACGATAATAACCGCAAAAACTACGAAAATTACGACAGTTCTAAGTATGGCAGAGTTGTTAGTAATATACAATGTGTAAGTAAAAAGTTACAACAAAATCTAAATTAGTGATGTAAAAACTCCACGATTGCTAGTAACATAACCTCCATTTGTATGACGTGAACGATAGTAAATGACATCCACGTGCTAATAATTGTATTCATTATATTCGCTCCGAGCCGATGTAGAGGTTGCGCCCCCTCTAGCCAAAATCAGGCAACATTTCTTGCATGTAAGCAAACGGTTTAGAACATATATACATGCGTATAGCTGCTTGTGATTGGCTGAATAAGACAGCAGGAGAGGATCGTCGTTCTCTCTCTAGCTTGCCAAGTGCCAATCACAAGCAGCTGTACGTATGTATATATGTTCTAAACCGTTTGTTTACATGCAAGAAATGTTGCCTGATTTTGGCTAGAGGGGGCGCAACCTCTGTATCGGCTCGGAGCGAATAGTGAGCGCACAGCGCAGCAATCGAAAGCAGTCGACAGCAAAAGTTGGCAAAGGTTTGGGAAAGGTGGGCAATCAGCGCCGCTAGCTGTTGCTTACGTTTCCTGACGTTTAGTTCATATTGCAACGAAGGTATGGCATACTTACTGTCAGGCCCTAAAGATTTACTCTTCTAATTAAGATGATTTTATAACGGAGTAATAAAGATATACAATTGATAGAAAAACCATCGATCATCATGCAGCTACTTTATAAGGTTAACCACGTTTTTAAAAAGTTCTTCCCACGTATAGAGTGTACTAATCTGAAAATTTTATTCAATAAATAATACCGAACGAAATTTATGTAAGTTTCAGTAACTAATGAAACAAATTCATTTGATAGTCTTACCTTTGTCACGGGACTCAGAAGTCGCGCATAAGTCCACGTTTAGGATAGCTGGATAGGGTAATGCACATAGATAGGTTTAGATTACATGGCGGAACATTGTTTGATTTCTCTCAACATGAATACCACTCTGTTAGTTATGTTACAGCAATCTCAAAGAAGCGATAACCAACATAAGTGTGAATTATGTAATGCTATAATATAATAAGTAACAAATATCCATATAATCATGTATGTGTTAAGCTTTTAATATATATAGCGAAATAATAGGTTCGTTTGGGATTTAGCTCAGAGCTCCTCCGAGCTTTGCCCTAAAACATGCGTTTTGCTGCGAGCTCACCCGAACGACTCCAAGCAAATTCCTACAGTCGGTACCTTTATCTGTTATTACAGTCTTGGCCATAAATATAGATATACCGACTGTAGGAATTTGCTCGGAGTCGCTCTGGTGAGCTCGGAGCAAAAAGCGTGTTTTGGGGCGAAGCTCGGAGTAGGCCTACTTATCTACGAGCTGCTCCAAGCTAAGCCCCCAAACGAATCTATTGCTTACCGTTTCTTCGATAGTTGCTACATAAAGTAAAATTATAGTGGTCTTCTAACATTTTTATTTTAAAATTTGAGTGACCATAGGAAGACTTATTCGAAACTTGAAAAATTATTGTAAGAAATTTTAAATAACTGATCTGAATAGAATAGTTGTTTTCGTACCGTAGGCGCAAAGTATAGGTACGACTAAAATTTGATGTATGCATGGTTGTGCCAGAGTTGAGAACGTCTTTCTTATCCGAGGGCGCAAAATAGCAATTTATGCCCTCGATGATAAAAATAACGCCCGTGATTTGGGCATCAATATCATATGACTATCGCGATCTTGCAGCCGTACTATATCTTGAAATTATAGTGATATGGCTTTATGTATGATATAATAAGCTTATAACATGCTGAATTACTAATGGTCTGGTAAATAAGATTCATATAATTTTGTAGCGTATACGCGGTTTCATAATCTAATCGTAATCACTAAGTTTGTGAATACTTAGTAAGATTTGGTTTTTAGCGTAGTATTTACTCCATTCAAAGTGTTAAGTTCGGAACAGAGATTTAAAGATCAGTAAGTTTTTTTATAAGTCTTTTATTTGTACTGTACATAAAAATTACGGGTTGATGTATATACACAAATTTCAAACGAAAAATGAAACAAGTTTAATTATCTTAATTGCAATCAGCACTTTCATATATATAACAAAATAAAGTTACCACATCATATTGAGAACTAATTAATCTACATCAAAAATATGCACCTTTTAGTACAGACAAAAATCAAATATACGTCAAATGCTTTTGATTAGACTAGATAGTTTGAACATGTGAAAAATATTAAGCTCTTAAGATTTATTATTTTGATAAAAAAAATGTTACACTGTACACGAAAAAAAAAAAAATTCAGAAATTAAAAACTTCAAATACTAAATTTAAAAAGTGATTACTAAAAACTGAAATTTCCGTCAAAAGTTTTAGCATAGTCTTATTTTAATTTTATTAAAATGGAAATCTATATTAATATCTATCAAGTCTTGAATTTTTTTACTGTATTAAACATTGTTCTTGAGATTCAGAGGCACGTTCTGCAGTGTTCTCCATATCTTGAGTGATTAGAAAAGCCTTTGTACTTTCTGCTTCCTTCATCCATTTGTCTATCTATACATAAAAGTATGAAGTAATTATTCAAAAAGCTCGTAAAACATTTACAAACTATAGAGTTACAACTAAAATAACGAAAAAAAACTTATTTCATACTTGTCGATTTCATCAACAAGTTTGATTAAATTGTCAAATTAACTTGTACTTCTATGATCTATTTTTATAAACATAAAAATATATGTACTACTTTTGACTAGCCCAAAGCGGATTGAGCATTCTTAAAAAGTCCTAACTAGTTTGTAAATAAAAAGCAGTCTTTACTGAAATAATTTGTGTGTGCCAGCCACGGACACAACACCACCGGGCTGAGGATTCTCATCCTGAAGTAAATTGCATTTTGTACCTGTTATTATCTAACGTAGGCAAATATTGTGAATATGCTGTTTTGAAGTATTAGCTTACTTCATGCGTTTCATGCGATTTTTTTTTTTTTTTTTTTTTTTCAAGTAAAAACTTACGAGAGAAATTTTCTCTCTATACCTCGAATGAATTTATGTATAGGTAATTTAAAGAAAAACGTTTAAAAATTCGCATAAAAATTGTAGAGTGTAAAGAAAAATTAAAAAGGGCAATCTGAAAAGTAATCAAGATGTCAAAGAGTTGGCCGGAGTGTAAAAAAAAATAATTGTGGAAAATAGGTTAGGATACATAGAAAAATGGTCGTTTCCCAAAGACGACAAAGGATGACACTCCTTTGGTGAAGGTGGTAAACATGTGATCTGAGCAACCTTTACTTTCAATTTGTGATGTATAAAACATTTGATACCATCCCCTAACCATAAAGTAGAAGTTTTTTTCACAGTTTCCACCACTTTTGAACAAAGGATTGTGTAAAAATTAAAAACTAACGCACCTACACAACTTGTATGTTTTTCTGTAAGCTAATGATAGCTTTAAAAATTGGAGTTATATTACGTATGAGTGCAGTAACCGATGCAGTGTTAAAAAATATGTTTCGTAAACATCAACTGATTGTAATAATATTCGTTCAGTATCCCAGTACGAGGATTCATGTATTTTTATTAAGTAGCAATTTTTCTTGTTTATCAAAAAAAATTTTTTTTTTATTATTATTATTAAAAATATGAAAAATCACGCGTATGTTAGAAAATTTTTCAAAATTTCAACTTTTTCGCATTAAATACACAGCAATTATTAAAATTACCTGTTTGTAAAGGAGCTCCTTCCTACGCCCGGGCGGTTCTTTTTTCAACAAAGGCACTAAAACCTTTAAGCTTGATTTAAACTTCTCGAGGGCTAATTCGTAATTGCCTTCAACCAAATATTGTTCAGCAACATCGCCGATTTCGAGAGCAGGCAGCATGTTTGCTGTACTTCGACCCAGCACACCTGCACGGATTAACAGAAACACATGCATGATTTTTATCTAAATCTCACCATTGTTTTTAAACTAAGGTGTCAAAAAAATATTCTTCTTCAAAATGATGCAAAAAGTCATAAAGTAGCTTTGCAATTACAATAAAGACGTTTTGTTTCATATACATGGGGTGATGTATTTTTCATGCCAGCAGCCTGGACAGTGGACATTCTCCTCGTTCGCTGCGCATATGGAGATAGGTATATTATATTCACTTCCCAGACGCTGGGGCATGAAAAATCGTATGCACATTAAGGCCGAAAGTAAATAAGAAGCCTCATATCGGACACAATATACACAGACGATATCAAAATTTCTTAACTTTTCCGATCCATACATGCGCGTGATATACGTAACAGCGTCCTTTTACGAAGACTAGCGCACCTAAGAAGTTTCAATATTATTTCAAGCAGGAAAATTTGAGCTGATGTACTGGTCTTCGTGTTCATTAAACTTAAAAATATTAATTACCGCCCAGAGACTGTGTCGATGAAAATACTAACATAGTTCCTGAAAGTCAATTGCTACGTTCTTATCGGGGCCATTGCACGTTGACGAGGCTAGCGGGGATGCAACTTTAGCCGTGGTATCCGTTGTACTTGGCTCGTCTCCTGTGGTTTTTCTCCTGTCCACGGCAACGCTAGCGTCCTTCAGTTGTTCCGCTCGCTTGATGTATTCGTTGATCCTTAGCCTTAGAGCCTCCTTTTTTGCTAAATTAGCCTCATCTAAATATATACAACGAGAAAGTCGGCAATTTCATTAGAACTGCAGTGCCATGGCATTTGTTGGAGCGATGATACCGTACACACATTTTTTCTTTTTTTTTTAATTCTTTCGCATGTGACCGATTTAATCCGTTTGAAAATTAAAAAAAAAAAAATAATAATATTGTTCAATTTACAGTCAGAATCAAACACCACTACAGAAAACGATCATACAGTGGATGCGTAAGGATTGGGCGTTCCAGATATTTACTTCAAAAGCTCAAAACTTATTACTTTTACGAGAAAATTGTTGGCGAAAAATATTCAAGTAGCCTATTCGTTATCTCGAGGCGTGTCTATTCACACTTACAATTTTTTTGCAAATTATGTTGTAAAAATAATCGAAGTAAAAATTTCACTCACTCGTTAGAATGGGAATGAAGTATCGGAGAGATTCGCAGTACAAATGATAGGCATCACGATGGCAAGCTTTTTGATCTGCCTCGACAGCTTTGTAAATCAATTCGACGGCTTTGTCGAAGTTCTCCTTGGTGGGCGCGTGTTCGAGGTCTAGGAACTCGTGCGCGAAAAATTCATCAAAAGTCAACCTCTCGTTAGGTTCATGCTTCAGTAGCCTCACGAGTAAATCCTTGCACTCTTCACTTATGTGACTACCTTTAGGTAACTACTGGATCAAATCGTGCATAAATAAATAATATATGTTTCATATAGATATTTATAGTGTCACGACAAATATGTATTTCTAAGCTGATCGTTACATACAGTGCTTCAATGCCCTAAAGAGTCAAATTTATGTGAGTAAGGTTAAAGATAGTAAAAATTTAGGTAATACTTAGTTTAGTTCGCTTATGAGGGCACTTTGAGCGCTCCAAAAATATACAGTTAACTTATAGAAACGTATATCTATATCAATGACCAGCTGTATATACTTGGAGCGCTTCGGGTCGCATATGCGAACAAATCTAACAGTGGTACAGTAATTAAAAATTATCAGGTCTTCATCGATTCTTGGATACACCTTATGACACCAAGTGCAATTGCTCAACCATAGCGTGGTAAAAATTTTGTAATTTGGGATGATATTACGTTAGTTTACTTCTATAAATGATATAAACGGTAATTTGCGTATTTTATCGTAATTAAAATTTTCTGCTTTTTTTATCATACTGAGATAATTAACATTGTGTCGCAATATTTTTTACAGTATTTTATACTTTGAGAAAATACATCGTTGAAACCAAAAATTGGTTGTTTACTTTTAAAATGGCAGAGTTTAATCGAGATTAAGAAAATATCCCATAATCTTTTTCTCTTCCAGTGTGTAATAAATCCTTAAAGAATTTTTTTTACAGTAATATGACCTAGCCGTTTGAAAATTTATATGGTAGAAAATAATATATATATGCAAGAATAGATTACGCTAAACATGCAAAATAGGAAGAAAGAATGGTAAAGAATTAGAAGGTAACTCACCTGAATCGGCCTCATATCTTTAATTTTTTCTGCGAGTTCGGCAAAAGTATTACTCGAGTACGGCGCTTTTCCAAAAAGGCATTCGTACATAATGACGCCGACACTCCAGAGGTCAACTCTGGCATCGTATTTATGCCTCAGCAAAATCTCTGGCGCCATGTAAAGGGGCGATCCCCGTATCGAGTGCTTTGTGTCATCTGAGCTTAGGAACTGGGCGAGACCGAAATCTGGAAATCCATTGTTTTGCTACTTTGATTTCAATACTCTCTACACGTCAGTGTTCGTACTGTATTATAAAGTCTTTGAAAGCAAATTTGTAAAAACAACAATAAATAAAGTATGTTTTCTATATTTACTTAATTGACTGGGGTTGATAATGAATTTACTTAACAAAATAAATTAATTACAAGACATACTTTTCATTGAAATAGTAATCAGATGGATGAACAGAATTAAAAACTTCTAACAATATACCTGCAATTTTCAGGGTGAATACGGACTTTGTTTTGATCAGTAAAAGATTTTGTGGCTTTAAATCCATGTGACAGACGTTATGATTGCGAAGATATCTTAGCGCTAATGATAGCTGCTGTAGGAACTTGCGACAAACATTTTCGGCTAGTTTACTTTTTTGTTTGATAAAACTGGACAGATCTCCGGCATTGCAATATTCCATCACTATGTAAATATGCCTAAAATAATAAATGAAATTTTTATTTTCATATAAAGCCTATAAATGAAAGTAACGAAAATTGCCTAGTCGTCAAAGCACTATGGATAACGTCGCTCGTTAATCAGAAAAAAAAACAAAAGCTTTTCTAGAACGTGAATAGAATCGAAGCACTTGCCTTTCATCCCAAAAGAAATCTCTCATTTCCACGATATGATCATGTTTAAGTATTTTGAGTAAATTAATTTCTGTTATGAGATTATCTTGAGTAGATTTGGAAAGGCCCGTTTTATCAACGCACTTGATCGCCACAATATCTCGCTTGTCATCCTATAAAACAATTAAAACAAAAGAAAGAGAAATTTAATTAGATTCCTCTAATGTCAAAACTTTCGCTAGAAAATTTTTATTTATTAGAAAATTCGGATTATACTTTTTTTATATATATATATATAGATCTACAATTATGCTTGAAAGTAGTACATTTTATGGTTCAAATTCAATTTGGATAGTAATATGACAGTACCGTTCGGAAAGTCGGAATTATTTTCATTTTATTCGCATGATACAGTATATAGTACAATACTACCTAACCTGAATCAATAAACACTTGTGTAGAGCCAATTAAAAAAAATAGTACTGTTGTCTGCTACATACATGTGAGAACATATATATGGCATTACGACTCCAAAAATCAGCTGACGGTACGATAATATAACAACAACAGTTTAGCAGTAGGGGAACTCACCCGTTTAAAGGCCCTGTAAACTGTGGAAAAACTGCCAGCTCCAATTTTTTCCAACAACAAGTAACCCTCAACGCTGGGTAGCGTAGGAACACTCATATCGTCGCCAGCACGATTATTAACTCTGATTTTTAATGGTTTCTTCCAAAGCACAGTTTTCTGAGCATGAGCCCTTTAAAGTTACATGCATATATAGCTGTTGAAAAAAAAATACCATCCATGTTTGACTTTTCTCTTTTCTGTCCTTGCGCGTATATAGGTATTTAGCACTCTCTCTCGCTTGTTGACCTACAAAAAGCGATATTATAATACGTTAGCAAAAAGCAATTTGTTTGCTTAAGTCACTTGAAATTTTAAAGAACAGCTAGCCAGCGCTGATTTACTTTTCGTTATGTTTACTTCTTACTTCTTAGAGACAATTACAGACACATTGAGAACTTTTGAGACATTCACAGGATTCACGGATTCAGTTATTCGGTTTCAACGCCATCTACCGGGCTAGATGCTAAACTCTAAACTGAAACATACGATATCGCGATATCACGATATGTAAACATTAAGAAAGTCAATAAATTTTCTCTCTTTCTTGTCTATAGTTCAAAAATAAAAAAGGACGAAATTAATGATTTAAAATCGAAGATTTTTTTTTGCTGAAAGTACGAACCTCGATCGCTAGATACAGTGGTGATTCTCAGTTTCTGCAGCAGAAATTCTGCTCCAATTTCCGCTACCTATAAGTTTTTTCAAGAAATTCCTATATCGATAAAATTTAAGACATGTGATATTTTCTGCGATACTCTCTTATAAGAAATAATGATTATGTACATACTTATAACGGTATGCAAAATGATAAATAATGTAGACCATCTGTTGGATAAAACGAAAAATGAAAGATCGGTAAAAAATCTACATTTGAAAAATAAAATTTCAAAAGGTGTGGGTATGTGCATTAGTACTTATGTAAATACATAGTTATAAGTGTATGCAAATTGCTATGTTACGTCAATATCAAATACTTAAATTATATTATTACACTACTAAGTACGTCCGCACCAAAACCTGCAAGCCATGCATGCAAGTACTATATAACTCTCAACTCTCTCAAGTCCTGAAAACACTAGCTGTGACTGAACCAACCAAACCTTATAACTTTTACACAATATAATCCTCGCGATCTATAATTATATGGTTTCCCTTTTAAGAATCAGCACATAACTCTTTCGTCTTTTACTGATCTGACTGACAGCAAAAATATTTACAATATTGTATAATTATACGAAAACGGAGTATATCTACATCAATAACATGAAAAACATATACGTGTCCACATCACATAAAAAAATCGAGCATCAACATTTTTATTATTATAGATAGATAAGTATCTACTTTTGTGTGTTGAACGGAAGAACATATTTTAGTGTCAATACACATAAACATGATAGCATCACCGTACACACCAAAACCTGAATAATTTGAAACTGGTACGTTGTTGATAGATATAAAAGTGCTCTGCTGTACTGTGTGTACTATAAGTATAACTGGACAAATTCATTTAATATTAAAACTCATCTAACTCTATCATCGCGGGTGCTCTTCTTTTTCTTAGGGCAAGGTAATTGACTGAGTAGCAGGTGTGTCCTCGTTGTGTATCAGTTCAATTACGTTTCACTGCAGTACCTCATCAAGTGATCAAGTTTCGTTACTCTGCTGCTTCAAGTTGTCAGAGACAGTGGGATATTATAGCATTAAATTGAACACCAGTGAATTTAATGTTCAAGGGAGAGCCTTCAGAATTATTTTTAGTATTCGATACAACATAAGTACGTAAATAATGTTCCGTCGTGGTATTACTATTTTTTTTTTTTTTTTTTTTACTTTGTTTAAGTCCCGCATAAGTATCATTGGTACTTCAACATCATATTGGTACTAATTGCAAATTGCAGAAAAACTTGCCTATAGGTAAGTATAGCGCGTTACAGCTGCAAGCAGGACACAAAGCAGAGTGAGTGAGCATCAAAGTGAAAGTCTGTCGAAAATTGTGGTAATTAGCCTACCTGTGTACAAAATTAGAAAAAAAATCGTGCCGTGAAAAGGTGTTAGAGTAGACATAAGTTACGCCAACTCTTACGACGACTAACTTTTGAGGTATTTATAGCATTATTTAGGTGTTATAGGTTGACAAAATGCCCAAGTTATTTTCTTATCTGTCAACCGGAAACTCCTTACGGCATACTTTCGTAAAGAAACACATTATTGCATTGCAACATTTATGAATAATAATCGGATTTCCCGTGCACCCCCATCAGTAGAACTTTAAAATTGAAGTATACCTATACGTGCAGACGTTGGAGAAAAAAATAAGCAGACGGACAAAACCTTTACATATATACATATCAATGGTTATTTTTCGTCAAACTCAAAACATTTAAAGCAGCAAGTATTGTGTTTTATTGACAAATTCTTGTCAAGTGACTACATTTTCCGCAGGTTAGATTTAACCAACTATTGTTTGTATACTGTCAGCCTGGTGTTTTTGTTGCATTATAACCTAAATTCAAAGTAGTCTTGTTTCTTCTTTCTGTAAACTAATGGTGAATATTTGTGATGATATTCAACCAAACTCTATTGCAGTCTGTTACGTAAACGAATTTATTTGTGTGTGCGTGAACGTGTTACACTCAGTTATAAAAGCTTACAAGTATTTTCTGAGTTGCGAGAAAGTGTTTAATAATTATTATCTTTTTATACTAAGTAATAGAACTTTGAATGACTTCGTAAGAAGTTTTCTCAACTAGCAAAACAAAAAATTTGACATCGATTGACCAAAAGCTACAATAGTGAAAATTGATGCACTTCTGAAGTGAGCTAATAAAATGTTTTTGTTAAATTATTTTAAACTATTCGCATGATAGTTTAAGTGTTTCGTTTCAATAATCGAGTTTACCACATACGCACGGTTTCTATCTACTCAATGCCGCGCTTGTGAATCTTTTGAAAGACCTTAAATGCGGTCAAGGCTTGACCTCCAAGCGAAATAAAACGCATCGGTATTATTCGAAGGTAATCCGGAAATTTTCTCGCAACAAATGCTCGAAGGCTAAGAAAATATCATCTATTAATATATATCTATCCTGTAAACTTTTATAAACAATTACCATTTAGGTAAACTTCACGTAAAGTAAATCTTTTCTGACGAGATATTACATAAAGCTCTCGAAGGGAAAACATACAAGAATACGAGAAAATAGAGATACACACGCTCTTGGAGGCCAACGTGAGTAACAAAAAAGATTCGGTTAAAATTTAGTATTATTTAGTTAACCCCTGAATAAATTCGAATGGATGTATGGATTGATGACTAATTTACGAAAAATCATTCTAAATTAATATCCATCCGTTAAAAAAAAATTACGTGCATCTATACAATCAAAGTAAATTTTCCATTTTTTAAAAATAAATAACTCACATCTGACTCATTGTTTTCAAGATTTTCAGAATAAAATACTTTTTTTTTATTAACAACTAATATACTGTCAATTGAGATTGATTCGTAAACTAAAATTTTACCAAAAAAATTTTATTATGGATCATTTTTTCAACTACAATCAGTACACGAGTTTAACAGAATACCTATAGGGTTGTCATTCAGGCATATTATACTTGGCAACCCTAATGATACCCCATAAATGTAAAATTAGACTGTCAATCATTTTTAACAATTATCTGAGGCTCTGTATCCATTAATTGTTTGATTTCTGAATTTTTTAATACACCGGAAACAGAAAAAAGAATGAACAGTATAAAGTATATAAAATTAATCATGACATAGATAAAGCTTTTTTCAATTTTAATTCGTTCCTTATTTACTCATCAATATTGATAGTAGTTCAATTAAATGGATTTTTCTGTTTTTCTTGTTTCTTCTAAATTTCACGGACTATTGTTTTATTGAGAACAAACATAAATATTGAGCGTATGCAAAACATTCCAACTAAACTCGAAATTATATCGCAATTCCGACTTATTTTTTTTAATTACTTTTGTACTCTCAGAATTAGTGATAATCTGTAATATTAGATTAATGTTAATTAATTAGACTCTAACTGCGACTCTTTTTCATAGGCAAAATGTTTTGCAATCATCTTAGCATCTTTGTTCTATACTTACTTATTACTTACGATAAACTTTTTAAACGAAAAAACAATAAAGCACAACGGGAGGAAAGAGTATCGTGTGTACTTATTATAGTGGAAACGGAGCATTCGCGCCAGACAAGCAAGCACATCAATATAGGTATACATGTATATACATTCCATTTGCCACATATACACACTCTCCTCGGAGCTCCTGTTTCCTCTTTCTCTCTTTCTTTTGCTAAGCAAAATTTGCTGGCCTATGTGAGTGAGAGAGAAAGTAAATAGAAATAAAATACATGCAGCGATGCAACAGTACATTATAAGTGCAAGCAAAAGAGACAGAATATATAGTAAAAGCAAATGAAGGAAAGAGGAAGACAGCTTGTTTCACCCACACGTACAAAACATGTACGTTCTTTAAACGCACACTGAGATCAAGACCATCAGTGGTATATATGTAGGAGTAGGTAACAGCAACAGCAGGTATATATAGTGCAGAAGCATCAGCAGCTTATAGTTTTTCTTCTCTGTTCTCGTCGTACCGAAAACACACTTTCAAAGTCGCATTTTTCAGTGCAGGTTCTGATCTGATATGGTTCTGCAGCTTATCCTCTCTTTCCCTCTCTGATGTAGACAAATAGCTAAGTACACCTTCGTCAGAGGTACTTAGATTATCCCATGTATTGGGCATCTCCTTGCTGCTGCCCAATAACTGCCCATCACCCATCAGAAGTGAAAACGCGCTCGTTTCCTCGGGAACTCTTGAAAACAAGGATAAGTACGGGAAGGACAAAACATTATCAAAGGTGTGTCTGTGCGTGAATGTTTGTTTTTTACTCTGATAAAGTGTTTAATTCAAGATGCGCAACTGGGCTGAACAACCCGTCGTCGTTGTCGTAGTAGTGTATATATAGTCGTTATATTTTGAGGACAGTGGAACAAGGGAAAAAGTTCATCTCTGAGGCATCTAACTCTTTTGCAACTAGTAATATTATATTTAATAGTCGATGTTACTGCTTGAAAATTTCTTTCTTTCTTATCAGTTCCTTGGTTGTTTTTTTTTTTTCTTCGAATTTGCCTTTGTGCTCTACAAAGCTTTGAAACTCGCCTTTGTGTTGTGTAGTTATATACTTGGAGTTTTTTTTTTCAATCCAAGTATTTCTTTTATTCTCGTTCTAACCTATACTGAGTCTGATTCTGTTCTATTGGAATTGTATAGCTTATAATGGTCTTTCGTTTGTACCTACTAAGATTTTTGGTTTATTAATGTATTTGTCAACTGGGACAAGTATTCCACCATTTCAAGCTCAAGTATACATCTGCTTAATAGTAATTATTTGTCAGATGACAGTCATACATCTTTTATTTAGTCTTGGCTAATGTTAATTTTTCAATGCTGTTGAGCATTATTCGATTTTTTGGATAACTGTCAAATCAGTCAAAAATTTTTTCAGGTAAAAAAATAGTTACAAGTAAAACTCAAAATGGAATCGGAAGATGAAACTTTATACGACGACATAGACTCTGGTAACGAATCCAGTGGTGATGATGTGGATTTTGCCATGGAAATTGAAGCCAACAATGCCAGAGAAAAATCAACTGATGTGGATGAATATCCCTTTGAAGTTCTCTCCACTGAAGAAATTGTACAGTACATGGTAGATTCCATCAAGGAAATAAATAATGTAGTAGAAGTAAGTATTGAAACAGTACTATATAAAACTTGAAATGGGTTTAATTTCACGCAAAATTGTATTGAAATTTTTAGATTCCTGCCACAACAACGCGAATTTTATTGAATCATTTTAAATGGGACAAAGAAAAATTGATGGAAAGATTCTATGACGGTGATCAAGAAAAATTATTCGAAGAAGCCCATGTTATAAATCCTTTCAGAACAGGTCCAGTTATCACTAGAAATCAATCATCTCACAATTTAAGGCACAATCCTCTAAATGCAACTGAAGAGTGTGGCGTCTGTTTTATGAATCTTCCACCATCTGTAATTCTATATAGCACATGCATTATAAACATTTTTTAAAACAAAAAACATTAAATTTACTAAAAAATTTTTCAGACAATGACCGGTTTGGAGTGTGGTCATCGTTTCTGTACGAACTGCTGGGGAGAGTATTTAACTACTAAAATCATGGAAGAAGGTGTAGGACAGATGATAGCTTGTGCAGCACATTCTTGTGATATTTTGGTTGACGACGCCAGCGTCATGCGTCTCGTTAAAGATTCAAGAGTCAAACTAAAATATCAACACCTTATTACAAACAGTTTCGTTGAAGTATGTCTAACTTTCTTAACCAAAAGTATTTCTTAATTTTCACGTTATCTTTCAGTTCAAGTTACTACTGATTATTTTTTTCTTGAATTTTTAGTGTAACAGGTTACTGAGGTGGTGTCCGTCTCCTGATTGCAATAACGCCATCAAAGTGCAGTATGTTGAATCGAAACCTGTTACATGTAAATGCAATCATACTTTTTGCTTCCACTGTGGACAGAACTGGCACGATCCGGTTAAATGTCATTTGTTAAAAAAATGGATTAAAAAGTGTGATGACGATTCTGAAACATCTAACTGGATCGCGGCCAACACAAAAGAGTGTCCCAAGTGCAATGTTACGATTGAGAAAGATGGAGGCTGCAATCACATGATTTGTAAAAATCAAAGCTGCAAACAAGAATTTTGCTGGGTATGCTTGGGCCCATGGGAGCCACACGGTTCTAGCTGGTACAATTGCAACCGGTATGACGAAGAAGATGCGAAAGTTGCAAGAGACGCGCAAGAGAGATCGAGGTCTGCACTACAAAGATATCTTTTCTACTGCAACAGATACATGAACCACATGCAGTCGTTAAAATTTGAAAACAAATTATATGCTAGTGTGAAAGAACAAATGGAGGAAATGCAGCAACACAACATGTCATGGATTGAGGTCGGATATCTTTTTTTTTTTTTTTTTTTTTTCCTTTAATTTTAACATCAATTTTAAGTCAGTACTTGATTTAATTTTTATGTTTGTATAATAGGTTCAATTCCTCAAGAAAGCAGTAGACATATTGTGCTCATGTAGGCAGACTCTCATGTATACTTATGTGTTTGCATATTATTTGAAAAAAAATAATCAGTCTGTGATCTTTGAGGATAATCAAAAAGATCTCGAAAGAGCTACAGAATTGCTTTCTGAGTATCTAGAAAGAGAAATCACTAGTGAAAATCTGTCAGATATTAAGCAAAAAGTTCAAGACAAATACAGGTGAATATTGTTGTAGGAAAAAACATGGCTTTGAAGTCAAATTAACAGTTGGATAAAAATTTTAATATTAATTATTACAGATACTGTGAAAGTCGAAGAAAAGTGCTCTTAGAACATGTACATGAAGGTTACGAGAAAGATTGGTGGGAATACATGGTCTAAGTTTTTGGGAGTAAACTCGGTAGTCTTTAAGAGGCACCTATGAACTTCCAAACTCAAATACAGCTGTGATAAATCTTAAAAGCTGAGGAGAAGAATCACAGACCACCATGCTAATTAAAAATAACCACTAATATACCACATTTGTTGAATACAATGTGGTTACAATGGTTAAACATGTAGAGCGACAAGGCAAACAGAAATTTAACTCCACAATTTTTTAAAAACCTTAAGACAATTGTTATTTTTGTTTATTTTCACTAAATTGAGTGGTGATCTTACTTTACAAATAAACATTTGATCAAAAAAATAATTTTCATTAAATGTCGCAATTAATTATTTTGGATTTTACAAAAAATTTTTTGTTACTTACCTCACTTGTCGAACAACTTGTAAATTAAAAACTCCAAAAATAACTAAAGAAGGTGCTTTGATCACGAGTAATTTCGTAATTTGGAATGTACCATATGTATTTTTTGTTTTATTTTCCTGGTATTTGTTTAAATACATATAATTTGCTCTTTAGATCAAATGCGTACAAATTTATCTACAAAAGTTCAATAAAAATAGAAAGAACATTTTCGAATTAAAATTTTTCTTCACTTAACATGAAATAATAAAGTGGCTAAGTAACTTATTGATAAATATCTGTTTGATACTGGACATTATTATGTTTAGGGCTTCAACTGCCAAATTTTAATTTGCGTGGAAATTAAAAATATAAAAACACTAGTAAATTGTTGGCATTGTGCTTTTAGAGCATCGAATTTCTTTTTTCTACAACTGGTACTTTTTACACAATGTATAAGTACAGTTATTTTATTAAATAAATTTTTTGTTCACGTTATAGTTGAGTATTAATATTCATAGTATTTATGATTTGAATATTATTTTAATGGTGTTTAAATATTATTACTTATAAGTGTATGTGCACAAATGGTATTATATTTTTATTATTAGTTTAATAATAAAAAATATTACAACAATTTGGTGATTAATTTTAATACCTAATTCAATAAATTCTCACTTACATTTTATTTCAGATGTTTTGTCAAATCAATTTTCCAACTCTTTGATTGCAAGGTGTCTAATTGACCCGTAAGATCCCTCATAATTTTTGTTAAAAAATTTTTCGAATATTTTTAAATGCACAATGTTAACCATTCAATCGATTCTATCGACGAATTAAGGCAGGAACTTTTTGAAGTTCCCTTGTATATACAATAAAAAATATAAGTATAGATCTATAATCTACAAATGCGTATACACGTAATATCATAAATTATCAATAATTATGAAAAATTTTTAACAGGACATTTTAATTTTAGTGTTTTATCGAGTACCAATTAATTGAACTTTATTGTTTTTTATTTGTCATTGTTAAGATGATTACAGTTATTGAGTAGATATTTAAAAAGTGTTTTACTATTTAATCGATTAATTATATCCGTTTATACCTTATCTAATATATATGTATATACATAACAAAAAATTCCGTAACGTTTGTACATTATTAAAAATTAAAGATGAACAAAAAAATTTAAGTGCTCTAAATAAACTTGTATGAATGACTATTAATGATCTCGTTAAATTAACCAGGACAACTTTAAAATGTAAATTTAGTGACTTGTATCATACTTCAACGTCAAAGCCTACATACTAATGTGATAACTGATTTAGAATTCGAAAAAAAGGGGTACATGATTACTATTGTGCAGCCTACTTAATTTCAATACTTTTTTCTCGCAGTATATGCCAAATTGTAAAATTTTAATAACCCGAATCTCGAAAACGTATTATACATATACATGGTGAAATTATTTTGCAAACTACATATCTCAATATTTTTAAACTTTACCTATACTATATTTATTGACTAGAACTATAGTTTTTCAAACAATTTTCGAGAAAATATATTAATAAAAGCATATACAACTTTTTTTCTTCAGGATAATTAATTCAATACCAAGTTTCACTAAACGATCTGAACATGTACATGTGAAATCACTAGTGACAAGATTTTTTAAAATAAAGTTTGAATCCTGTAATATAATATGTAGAATAATTATTTGATTTATTTACAGGCAATAAAAAGTATATGCATCAACGTGTAATCTTACACTTTGTTCTGGGTTTTTGTTGTTTGTAGATAACAGGTACATCTAATTAGAAAGTAATGTAAAATACGTTCAATAAGTGTGTGGATTATAAGGAGACAGAAAATATAAAGAAAATTATAATATTTTAAGAAAATTTATTTTGGCCAGAATATTGTACAAAATTTGGTAAAAGTACTACAAAAGTACATATTAAATTTAAAAAATGTATTCGTGGCAGTGACTTGCATGTAGATAGCTTGTTTGAAAATATGAGTAAAAAAAAACTACTTGCTTTCATAATTTACGCTTGTACATAAGCTTAAAATTGTTAAATTGTAATTACTACCTAAAATAAATTATAAATAAATACAAAATAGATCGTGCCTACCTAAATTTTTCGCGAATAAAAAAATCTTTTTGGATTACAGACGTCTAAACACTGATTTCGAGCATTCTAATATCCCACTTTGATTATAGTTGAAATATTAAGATAAACAAGACATCTTAGGAATTGAACTAGACGATTATACAGTGGTATAAAATATTACATTAATAGGAAACTTGATCATTATATATCTTTTCCTTGTTCCTTCCACGTGCGATATAGCTCAAGTGACTTGTTATTTTTTTTCTGTAAATACAAAGTAAAATTATTGGACAAAGATCGTTTGCATTGCAGTTTTAAATATTTTCATTTCTACAGTTCGAGCGAGAACGAATCTTACAAGTACGATACTAAAAAGCGTGCACTTTTCAACATAGGATCACAGGATGTAAGTACGCGACGAAAGCTTTACCCGGATGTGTCGTCAAAATAGTTAGTAAATCAAGAAGTAACTGATAGTATCGTGGCCACCAAGCCAAGCGTGGCTCCTGTCATAAGTAAACTTCTCCATACTGCACCACCGACCTCCTCGGCTACCGGGTATTCTATACATAACTGTTCCTGAAGGAAGTTATCAATGAAATGAATTATACGTGAAAAAAATAGCAGTAAATTAATTGGAAAAATAAAAACTTGAGATCAGACTTACCCATCCTCCGCTAATTTTAATGAACTGCGCTATCTCCTCAGAGATATATCTGGAAACATACATGGGCAGTTTTTGCTTAAGACCGTGCATCCGTCTGTCTCTTGCCCATAGCGCCAATCTTCCCATAAAAGCATAGAGACAAACTATCCTTGCCCACGTGACACCTTGGTAGAACAGTTCATCAGCAACTCCCATGAATGCTTCATAAGCTGTATCTGGCACCACATTTAGTCGATTCACCATACTTGTGAACAATATGGTGTGCTTATTAAGCATCTGATAAACGTTGTGGCGCATGCTTCTCGATACAGGATCCCTAGATATCATGTATATGTCTTCTTTGAGGAGATACCTGATTACATCATTGGCTAGATATTCTGCAGTCAGTTCTAAGGAATCTTCACAAATAGTTGATCTCTGTGGTGATGACAACTGTGGGAACAGCTGTTGTAACCGGATCTGAAAAGGAAAAAGTATTACACACGTATTTACAAACAATGCCTACACAATGTTTTTTTCTCATTAAATTTTGTCAATAGCAAATTATGAAAAAAAAAAAAAATAAAATAAATAAATTATACGCTCATATCAAGAAAGGGAACTACTCTTTTGTCATTTAGAGATTCATCTGGTATGAGAGCAAGGTATTACAAAAGTGCAATTATAAACAAATCTTAATAAGTATACCTGACAGATTTCGACAAAGGACATCCCACCGCTCGTCGCCTCCGCAGCATATCGGCAGATCCCGTGGACGACGTTTGAACCGCGGATGACGGCTGTCGAAACTTGTGCCCGTTGCTGTGACTGCTGCTCGTTGCTCGGCGGCTGCTTGTTGTCACCGGGGGCCCCGGCAGCAGCAGCAACAACGGCCGGGTCGGATTCCTTAATGCCGCCCACTCTGGAATGCGGCTGCTCCCCCTCCAGCGTAGTTAGCGTCGTCGCCGCTGCTCCCCGGCCCTCATTGTTCGCCGCTCTCTCGCCAGCCATCTCCTCCTCCTGTGTACCGCTGCTGCTTATTGGGCTCTCTCCTGGGAGGGCTCACGCTCGTTCTCTCTCTCTTTCGCCTTCAGGCCTGATATAAGCCTGGTTGTGTTTCTCGCTTTCTTTTTTCGCCTTGTGTGGCGCACGAGCCAGCCTGTGGGAACCGCGCGACCTAGTGCGTCCTCTCCTCGGCCTTTCGTTGCTCCTTTTTTCCCCTCCTCTGTCTTTCTCTCTCCGCTCTTCTTCCTTCTCTTTCGAATTACTTATCGCCGAGCTTGGTTGTAAAGCAGCTTTGGGCTTTTAGGTCTTTTGACACATGAATGTTTCGGACGCTGTTGGCGCCTGCCATTTCTGCACTGTTATTGCAGTGTCTGCCCTCCTTTTGTTTTATTAGAAAGGGGGAGCCTTTTACATTTGCTCCTGTTTTATGTCTATGCTAACCTAAAAAAAAAAAAAAATTGTTTTTCTTTATTTTCACGCAAAATAGAGTAACTTTAGTAATATTGTATTGTACATTGAAGTAATAATGCTACGTTACTGTATGATTCAAATACGTATTTTATCGATCGCAGGAGAATGGAAGAATTTGCAGCTCTCACCGGGTTACATATAGATATACATCCCTCACTGTAAACCGTTAAGCTTAATTTTTTAGAACAACTTTGGAAAGCTGTCTACCACTTATATCCAGTTTAATCATGAGTATTATGTACCTAATACTTGTATGCACTAATATTCTATTTTGTCATCACATCCGCATCGTTTTTTAATAACGGCTTTCAAACATATAAATCCAAAAGACATTAATTCAGCTTGATGATATGAGCTTTAGATCGGAATGTTGCGTTCTTTTTTTTCGGTATATCTTATTTCAATGATTTTGAAAATGACAGAACATTAAAAATGATCACTAACTCGTTTGTGACAGCGTTAACGTTTCACATTTATGATGGGTACGTAAAACACAAAAAATATGCAATGGTAACTACTTACAGGTACTCTAAGTACAAGGCATTGATTCAAATCGCGTCCATAATAATCAATAAGTAACAAGAGTACATACCTACTTGACAAAAAAAAGGGGAAGAAATAACACACGTACTTTCTGGAGAGTAAGTAAGTAGGTATCTGACATTCTTCGGACACAGTTTGTTCATAAAGACAAATCACTAAAATTAAGGGCAACCCCATACCTATGTGAGACACCCACTTATGATAACTATTTTTCCAGAAACAAAAACAAACTCAAGTCACATACCAGAGTATGTGTCTACGAGGAGCCAAGCAACTCTGAATAATCCTCCGAACTCCGTACTACTGCAGTTTGATATATTCGAGCGATGAGGGTGTTTGTCCACAATAACCCAAAATTGGGCAAGTTTGACCCCCAAAAAATGAAGATTGACGTGGACCACCACTTATACGGCAAAGTCCTTCCAAATCCTTATATGCGGTGTTAACTCGGCCGCATACGGCAAAACTCTATAGATACTTTCCAAACGGTGCTGAAACGAAGCACACACTGATACACACATATACACCATGCCGCAGAGTCAGCCGCTCGCGCGCGGCGCGCTAGTCTCTCTCTCTCTCTCCGTCTGTCCCGCTCTCTTTCTCCCTTTTCATGCGCGTTCTCTCTCTCTCCTCCTCCTTTTCTTTCTTGTGTCCCGCCCCGCCGCGCTCATATGCTGCTGCCGTAATGCAAGAGCGAATTCTCCTTTTGTCCCACACAGTATAACTATATATGTAGGTGTATATACGTGAACGTGAAACTACTCTCTCCTTCTCTCTCCTATGGATCATTCAAGTTTGCCCCCCACCTAAATCCACCGACGCTCCTCGCACCCCCACCCCCTTCGCATACCAAGTTCTCTCTCTCTTTTTTTTCCTCTCTTTGATACTTCATACATGTATATAATATATACTTACTCTTTCACATGTGTTGGGCTCTCTTTCTCTCTCTGCTCTCTACCCCTTTTTTGCCGTCAAAAATCAAACCACCCCCCCAATACACCGACCGCGACCAGGGTTTTTTGCTACGCACAGTTTTATTGGTCAAAAGTTTCATGCAAACAAAAATTAAGCGAGTGAAGGGTTAAAAATATAAATTTAATTAAAGTATACACACATATATACCTACGAGTAGTTTGATCAAAGGTATTAGCATCGTATTTTATTTTTTTCCTTCTTCGTTTCGTTGTTTATAACTCGCGCGTATGTAATTATACGTAGGTATGTGAATTCCCGAAGGGTGAGAGAGAACTTCTCACCGAGTGTTTCTCACGCGAATGGCCATTTGACACGTTTATCATCCCGCGCGGACACAGCGAAAATTGAACACGAAGTTGCCCCATATCTCATGTGTATATGTATCTTACTTGAAAAGTACACTCTACTGCATTTTTTTCATTTAGACGTCATTTAGCTCACTATACACGTATATCACACATTGATCTATCTATCGCGTTCGGCGGGGGGGGGGGGGGAAAATTCACTTATGCTTGCATATACTTTGTACTAAAAATATTGAAAAAGTATTTAAAAGGTAAGAAAAAAAAAAAAAAAAAAAACCCTTTCTCCCTTTTTCGATCCAATATACTTCGTGTTGTTGTCTCGCGAAAATCTACCGTGGCTATCGAGGATCGCTTTGTTGTTTTGCTTTAATCAAGGAAAGGTCCGAGAGACAACAACACCCTTTTAAAGACATAAATTTTGGTACCCTTTTTTTAGGTAGAGAGTGACCCAGATATGTATTTATATATATTACACACGCAGCCAGTGGCGCCGGGCTTTTTCTAAAGGCCCCGGGATCTTGTATAGACGTAACAACGACCGTAAACGTATATACCTATAAGTATATGTAACATACAACTTTACGTACCCATGCAGGGGTTGGTATTAGGTTGTCGTCTCACGTGTGTGGGTGCAAGCGTGCCCTTTTCTCGAGCCTATATCCACACACACAGAGAGAGAGAGCGTTCAAAGGAGTCGAGGGGAAGGAGAGGAGGCCGGTCTTTCCCGGATTCCACGAACTCGGGCTCCGGAATGCGCCGCGGTCGCTTATCTCGCCGCTATATTATATACCTATACGTACACAACTGCGAGTCTCTTCCCCAATGCAGGCCCTTTTTTTCCGGGGTGGCTCCAGCCACGGTGCATTTGAATGCACACCGATTTTAAGCTCCCATCGATTCCCCCTTTTTTTATATTTTTTACCGCGCTCGATACGTTTCAGGTGTAGCTGATGTATCGTTTTTGCGCGAAAATTTTTCAATGGAAGTCGCAGATTATTTTAATTCATTTCACGTTATTGTAACGCAATTATATGTATACATCGCACGCGCGCGCCAACGAATCGTTTTTGCATTACTTTCCGAAAGTTTCGCGAATCCCCGAACCGAGTTTGTCGCCATCGCCTTGGAATCCGATTTTTCCCCAATACTTTTTTTTTTGTTTTTTTTTTCCCCCCCCCGATGAAAAAACACCAAATTGAGAGGCACACACGCGAGTAAACAGAGATGACTAACGCCGCATGGGGGGGAAGTCGGGAGAGGAACCTTCGCGCGGCCTCTCTCTCGCAGAAAGAAAAAAATAATCACAACAAAAGACGAAAAAAAAAAAAAAAAAAAAAAAAAAAAAAAAAAAAAAAAAACTCTGCGAGTAGGTAAGTATTCATTTTTTATGATTCACTCGTTCATTCATACACGCTGTATAACATAATATATTATACTCATGTAGTTATATACTTGTTGATTTGAGTTTCCGAGAGCGCCACAAGGAAGCTCATCGTGTACTTGCCTGTTACAAGTATAAACGATCCGCAGAGTTGCTCCGAGCTTTTCCTCGCCAAGAGACGAGGACGGACAAAGAGACTGTGCAAGAGAGAGGGACGAAAGGTCCATTCAGCATCAGCAGCTCGGGCAAGAAGAGCCGATGAACCGGGCGTGCAGTTATAGCTTATTCTCCCTTGCACGGCGTCGGCGGCGCACGGAAAGACCAGAAATAGAACATGTATAGGTACAAGGATAGGTATCTTGGCCTTTCTTTCTCACGCTGCTCCTCTGCTGCAGAGACCGCGAGAGATTGCACACCCCCCCCCCTCCGCTCGCGTGTGCGCACTTTAGCCTCTCTCTCCACGGCAGCGAGTATTAACTCGCGGATAGACGATGAGGAGAAAAATACACCGCATCCGAGATGAGCCGCGAGAGAGGCTTGAAGGAGGAGAGGGTGGCTGTATGGACCTCGAGCCTAGGATATACCTGCACATTACGCTTGAGAGATTGCGATGGCGTGTGGCGCACTTGATTGCCGACCATATGATGTATATACGCGTGTGTGCGCCACATGGGCATGAAATACACGCGGAGGATCCCTCTGTGCGCATAAAAAATGGGTGAGGGTGGTGTTTGCTATAATATGTACCCGCAATCGTTTTACCTCGGAGCTGCTTATTTCAAGGCCTCGGTTGAATACGCATATATACATATAAGTACAGGATTGGCCTAACTGTTTACGTTATTTCGCGTACGAGTAACAACACATCACGTGCCGATCTTGGGGATGTAGAATTATGGAGATCAGTATCGGTATACGAGCGTTTTTGTGTTGCTGTGAATCTTTTAAGGAGCTCGAGCGTATGGAAAATCGGCAAAGCTTGTGTTGGGGATAACATTTGTTCTGATGTGTGGTTATATACTTTTGTGCGAAAAATAAAAGATATCCTTCATTTGAAGTAGAAACGGAGCAGATCGGTATGCCGTGGATGTTCCTTTCATGGTCTTATTTAATGGCGCCTCGAGCAGCGATTTCTATAAATAAATTAGCGCCGGTAGATGATTAAATTTGTAGTCAAAGCCGTGAACGTGTGTACAATGGGTATACCGATCGTTTCGAGGCCACAAGGAAACTACAAAAGCTGAGGATTTCAAGGGCACGGAAAATGACGTTATGTATATACGAGAACGCGTATCTTCGAGGGCACCGGTGGCTTCAGCGTATATCCTCCTGTCGATTCCATTATTCCTTTTTCAATTATTCTCAACAGGTCGAAATGGCGCGCCAAGCGTGGGGATTATTTTTCTCAAGATCGGTAAGGTGTACCACCAGAAACGGAAAATCGATTAAATGAAAGATCTCTACGTTGCGGAGGGAACGCTAAGTAGGACAAAGAGCACGCGTTGCATCACGTATACATATACTGCAGTCAAGGTACAGAAATCGGCATCAGATTCAAAGAAATACACATAGGTACGTATCGCAATGCGCCAAACGATCCGATGCGATATATTTCAAAGTGTTGCCCAACTCACGATGGCTGCATGTGCTAGTCGGTTTCTTTAAAAGGGATGTCATTTATACACAATCGTCTTGGGATTTATATGGTTAGCGCAGGCCCATTACACCTCGAAAGGTCTTTTAATTGATGTCAACTGCGCGTGAAAAGTGTATTAATGTGCACACCGATAGTCTTGTGAAATAAGATCGTTCGGCACAAAATACGGCTACAACGATTCAATACATACTCGTTGGTTGTTTGCAATGTATAAAAAGAATTTTCTTTTTCCTCTCGATCGGTTCTCGTGACAATATTCTTCCAAGCTTTTTCAGACCACCTTATTTGTGTTGGTGCACATAATTTTGAACCGATTTCGCTATTAGTATATCTCAAAATACATGTACATGTACATAATTATATAATATCATGAATTATCAACGTTATGTAAGGTAATATTTATATACATATATACAGAACACACACGGGACAACAGGCCCAGGTAAACTGAAAAGGATCGATAAAAAGTCCCATTAGGGTGCGCCTAAGTTCGAAAATTTAAAAGGCCCAAGAGTATGGAGCTACATAATACATATATGTATATATAGGACGCGTTAGCGCGCACCAGCCAGTGAAAGTCGTCGTTCCCAAGCTCTGCATGAAGTACACACTCTGTAGATACCTTATGTATATATATAAAACTTGCATAAATATAAATATAGTACTAGAAGTATACTCGTGCACATACCGCCGGCTTTTGCCGTATACGAGAAGTTCTGGGTCACTGACATCTCTCCGACTCGGCACGCGGCCGCAGCCTGCACGGCAGCTTGCAGTTTGCTCTTTACTCACTGTTATAAGTAAGTATACTTGCGCCAGGGGTATTGCAGTCACTCGCGTCTCTGTATAAGCATTTTACAGCCGGAACTCTATCTTTCCTTCTTGGTACGCGGGTACTATGTTGTGTCGTGGAAGATCGGTTGGGATCGGTTAGTTGCATGCAATTTTTTTCACATCCAATGCAGACACAGGCGCACGATACTGTACCCGAGAGATGAAAAAAAAAAAAAAAAAAAAAAAAAAAAAAAACTACTTACACGGCGTTGTGATCGGTATTTCGCAACCCCGTTCCCTTTCTTTATCTGTTTAATGTGACTGTATATCGGACATTGGAGACAGGCTTCCAATAC